TTTATTTATTTTTTAAATACCCCCTGTGAACAGTACCCGCGGGTATCATTCCCGCGAGCACTATTCACGTGAATAGTAACTCAAGATTTTTTTTTAATTTTTTTTTATTTTGCACCTGAGGGAACAGTACCCTCGGGTACTGTTCATGAATAGTATTTTTTTTTTTTGCACCCTAGGGAACAGTACTCTTCCTTTGATAAGGGAATAAATTGTATAAGTTTCACTCCTTAATAAGGGAATTGAACTTTATGAGTTTTACGCAGCTCGTCCCTTTAGTAAGGGAATTGAACTTTACCAGTTTTACTTAGCTCACCTCTTTAATAAAGATTTTTATTTACTATCCCTTATTGTAAGGGGATATTAATTACGGGATTCATCCAACCCGGGTTCTTGTAATACAGGACATTCATTTATTATCCCTTATATTACGGGGATATGGATTACGGGATTCATTCAGCCCGGGTCCTGATAATACAAGATACTTATCCCCTATAGTCCGGGGATATGGATGACGGGATTCATTCAGCCCGGGTCCTTGTAATACATGACACTCATTTACTATTCCCTTATAGTATGGGGATACGGATTACGAGATTCACTCATCCCGGGTCCTTGTAATACAGGACACTCATTTACTATCCCTTATAGTACGGGGATACGGATTATGGGATTCACTCAACCGGGGTCCTTGTAATACAGGACACTCATTTACTATCCCTTATAGTACGGGGATACTGCACGTATAAACTAAAAGGAATTTTATTAAAGAGTATCATTGCCTCAAGGCTTATTAAAAACAAAATAACACGTGATGGAGCTACCCTCCATTTAAAATGATTAACTAAGATGCCCCCAATCTTTATTGTGAATGACTTGATAAGGCTAATCCCAACCGTAAGACAATTTCTAGTCGGTATACTCATCTGAGTCATTCTCATGATATGTGCTGTCGCTCTGGCTGAAGAACGATATCTTATATTTGCTATTATTTTCATCCTTGGCGAGGGGGGCTGGCCTCTTCTTGTCCTCTCCTTCCTTCCGTGCACTCATGGTGTCTTCAGCGTTGATGTGTTTTTGCGCTCTGACCAGCAACTCTATCATGCTGGTGGGAGGTTCTTTTGATAAGGAGAACAAGAATCTGGAGGTTTGGAGTCCTCCTATGAAAGCGGTCAAAGCTACCATGTCGTCCACCTCTTCTACTTGCAACATCTCTACGTTGAATCGGGTGATGTATTCCCGAATCGACTCTTCCTTTTGTTGCTCCATGGTAAACAGATAGGTAGCCGGCCTCCTATGCCTCTGACCTGCAATGAAGTGGCTCACAAACTGCTTACTCAATTCTTCAAAGGTGTTGATGGTTCCTGGCTTCAACTTATTAAACCAAACTCTCGCTGATCCCTTAAGTGTAGTGGGAAAAGCTCGGCACATGATTTCATCTGGCACAGCGTGTAAATGCATAAGAGCTTGAAAAGTTTCCAGGTGATTGAGGGGATCTTTGGTCCCATCGAAGCTTTCGAATGAGGGTATTTTGAACTTGCTAGGTAGTGGACATTTCATAACGACGGGGCTGAAAGGCAGGTTGGTCCTTTGTACCAGGTCATCTACGGCAGCAGGACCTTTCCCTTTCATAGCCTGCATTACATCTTCCATTTTCCCCTTGAGATCCTTGATCTGCAAGTCGAGATAGGTAACTTCCTTTGTCTTTTTCTTAAGACAGAAGGCTATGCTTTCAGGAGGTCGGGAACTCCGTGGGAGAGATGGGTGAACCACCTCTCTATGTCGGGTTCCTACCTGGCTTTATTCCACTTCAGTCTCATTTTGGGGGGAATGATTATCCTTCTCTTCAAGATTCCCATTACCTCCGTTTGGACTTGAGAGATCTTGTCCTGGAAAGTTTTGTTGAACCGGTGGAACAAGGTGTTGCAAGAGCATTACATTTTGCTGGATCAACTGGTTCATACCCTGACTCAGAGTTTGAACCTGCAGTTTCAACACTGTAAGCCGTGCCTGGTCGTTTGGGACGTCCAGGTTTTCACCCGACTCTACCCTTTGACCAGATCCTTGCGACAGTTTTCCTTCGGTAACCATACCGGACTGCAAACGTATATACCCAACGAGTAATTAATTGATTCAAGGGAATCGTCGTTCCCACAGACGGCGCCAACTGTTGAGGCTGAAATTCACGCAGTCTGATACGATACCGTTTTCCTGCAAGGAAGAGAGGAGAAGATCGATGAACCTTGACAGCACCGGTGTGGTGCCTGCCAAGAGCTCTCCGACGATCAAATTAGTCACGGAGGTCTAAAAAAAAGGCAGGGATTAATTATAGTTTTTACGTCGTACTTTCTTTAATGGCTTGGTGCCCTATTTATGGCTGTCGATTGGAATCAAAATCGTTCCGCCGATGTCGATGGTTAATCTTATCTTCCGCTTATGCGAAATCATAGGAAATTTGTTGCCAGATTTGTCGGGGATATGATTTAATTCTTTTGACCTCCTCCAGTTATAATAAGATTATTCTTACCTGTTGAACCATGTCAGATTTCATTATCCTTGATAATGAAATCTATTCAATCTTATCGAGGGTAGGGTATGTTTATATTTTTTCCTATCATTTTGTATTAAACAATTGAGGGTAAAATGGTCAATTCACAGGTATTAGAAGTGTAAAAGTAAGTTGGGGTGTAAGTGAAAGTTAAAACCAAAATTTTCATCTAGCTGAAATATGACCCAACCTCAGAGGGTGGCGGTGTAATTTACCCTAATAATTTAGTAGCATAGATGTACATTCTAGCAACCAAAAAATTGAATGATTAATTAAACACTTGCTCCACCTATATATGTATGTAAATAAATACCATCATATATCTCCAAATCCTTTATCATATCCATATGCAGCATATACACCACATCATGAGTTCATAGTTCTTTATTTAATAAACACACACACAGAGAAAACTACAAATAGATATGGATATATAAAGTAATTATAACATGAGAATTCTAGCTTTAATTGATAGCATATTAGGTTGCATTACATATAAGAGATCAAAAGCAAGAATTAACTTGCTTGACTTTTCTTACAACAAAGGTGTAAAAATCTTCGCAATAGCAATGTAGGTAAAAACTTAATCCAACTAATTCTAGATATATAGATATATATCCAGTGATTGAGTTCAATAAAAACTCTTTTAAATTTCAAAATAAATTAAATGATAGATTTATCTCCTTATATATATATATATATATATATATATATATATATAACACGAGTCTTAAAAATCACGGTTGATTTAGGAGTATTTAATATTTATTACTTCAAGTCTTCAACCTCAAGCCCATAGATGAAAAAAGAAAACACATGGTCACTTATACTACAAAATGTATTAATTCCTTTTTCTTTTTCATTCGGAATTTCACTAAAAAAATAAATAAATAAAATTGATCAATTCAATTATATAAACATTGATTTTTTCAAGACAATTCTAAAAAGATAATTTAATAATATACTCACATTTTGGAGGTCGAGAATGCAAATCCCTTTAAGATCACCTTCATAATTTTCTCAATAATTGCGAGAATGTTTTAAGACATATGATCCTATGATTGTTTTGAATTTTTTTTTTTTTTTTTTAATATTCACTTTATCTCGTAAGAAGTTTCCACAAAAAAAAAAAAAAAAAAAAAACATTCGTCATATCTTTTGAATTCACTATAAATAAATTTGATAACTTATTTAGTACCATATAATAAAAAAATATTAAAAATTAATTTACAAATGACTAAATTTAAAAAACTTTCAATTAAATCGTATAACTTGCATATTTAACCGTTCATACACATCATATGTATTAAAATTTTGGCGAAGAGCACCAAACTTTTTACAAGAAATGGACCAGCGATTTGACATGACGAGGGACGAGGCGAATTGAAGTCAAATGGGGGCAATTTTAGAATATTTGAAAATTATTTCAAACGGTTGTCTCTGTTCAAAATAAGTGTTACCACACTGACACATCACAGTACCCCACCACGAAATATCATGGGGAGTACTACCTCTACTTCGGCCGTTGGCAGTGTCTGAATCTCAACCCTTTTCGAAATACTCAATCTGTCCTTAAAATATATATATATATATATATATATATATATCTATTTTTTTAAATTGTCTCCGTTGAAAATAAGTGTTACCACACCGACACATCCCAGTACCCCACCAAGAAATATCATGGGGAGTACTACCTCTAGGTCGGCCGTTGGCAGCGTCTGAATCTCAACCCTTTTCGAAATACTCAATTTGTCCTTAAAAATACATATATATCTATCTATTTTTTATTTGACTGTTTCAAAATAAATTTTTAAATTGAAAATTAAAGTATCATTATTTTTATAATATTATTAATTTAATATTTTTACATTAAATTTATAAAAAGTAAATTATTATACTCATGTGAATCATAAATACATTTAGTAATTCATTCACAGTCAATTTAACTAAAAATACTAAAAATCACCTTCTTACGAGGTTAGATTTTCAAATATATATATATATAATATTGATTTGAGAAGGAATGATATACATTACCGTTAGAGATATACATAACCCCTAGCTAAGACAATAAAAGTGAACTTTTAAGAAATTACGGTAATCAAATAGAAGATAAATGTAGAATTTATGTCAAAAAGGGTAAAAAAAAAAAATAAAAATAAAAAATAAAAATAAAAATATAATAATTAATTAATATTAATTATAATAAAATGATAATAATATTTTTTTTTTCTTGGTACTCACCCACACCAATGATTTCTTGTGCACCAGAGCAAACACTCCGTTCTCATCTATAAATACCAAGAGGACCAGGATATTAATTTCATGCATCTCTCACATAATTAAGGTACGCACATATATGTCTAAATATCTCTATCTATAGACTGACTTGATATATATATATATATATATATATATATATTCATGTGTACACAGGGCCATTACTTCTTCTTGTCTATAAGTAGAGGGAAGATCATGGTATTAATTTATTTTATGCATTTCTCACGTAGTTAAGGTACGTGCATCTCTCACACTAAATCTCTCTCTATATAGTAATAGAGGAAATATGGCGCTGAGCTTAGCACCCCAGAAGGCAGATGAAAAGGTGTTCGAGGGAGAAGGTGGATCATACCATAGCTGGTCACCTTCCAACTTTCCATTGCTTGGTGAGGCTAACGTTGGTGCGGGTGTTCTCATGTTGCATCCTCGTGGTTTTGCTCTACCTCACTATGCAGATTCCTCCAAGATTGGCTTTGTTATTCAAGGTTATTATTTTCCTACTTAATTTTCAACAAATTAAATTGTGTGTATATATATATATATATACACGTATATATTTGTGGGTTAATTTCTATATATTGTTATTATTATTTTATAAATGTTGAAAAGTAGATAGAACTCAAGATCTAGATGCTTTTTCAAGTGTTTTCTTGTGCTTCACCTAACATGTGATATTTTTTTTTAAAGTATACATCACAAGTGTGAGTTTCTTAGTCATTAGATCCAAGAAATAACATTGATTAATTTAATTTATTTTCTTGGTTCTCTCATATGTGTTGCTAGTCTATATATAATTACATACATACACAAATCTTTTTGGATAATTGTTTAGGACATTTCATTTTGTGGATCTGATGGAACTACATGGAGTCCACCTAATTTATTTAAATTTTAAAGTAAGTTACATTTCATTTCGTTGGGCAGTGGATCAGTTTGAGACGGGAAACCTTGTGGTGGTGGTAGGAGGTTGAGTGGCGGCGGTATACAGTGGCAGTTGTTGGTGGTGGTTTGGTGGAATTAGTGGCGGTGGTGGTTGGGGGCGGTAAGAGGAGGAAGAGAGAGAACTAGGACAGAGGACAGGGAAACCATGTTTGTGTCCCACTTGGCTGGAGAAGAATTGGTCTTTATTTATTTATTAAATGCTAGATCGGAAAGAATATAATATTTACATATTTTGTGATGATTAAGTCTTCGTAGTTTGAGCTCAAACCCTCAACAATTCTATGTTTGGGTAGGGTTTTATGTGGGTAAGTTATTCTGAGCCTATTATTTTGTCAAGGACAAGTTATTCCATACTTAGATACCTCAGAATATCAACTATGAGGCTATGAGATATTTATTTAATGAAGAAAATGATGAATATTATAATCGGGAAAAAGTACAACATTATTGGTCGGGAAAAAGTACAACATTATTGGTACGTACCACGATGTATCTTATATATGTTATTTATTTTATTATTATTATACTAACGAGAGAAATAATAATTTCTCACCATATATGCTGCCGTTGTATATTTTTTTTTCTGTTAAATTCACTTTTATTTATCTATGAAAGACTATTTATATGTAGTACTTGACAATAAGTGTTAATTTACACATAAATCTACAATAAAATATTTAAATTAAGGGTTGGACTTTGGAGTCTGACATGGGACAAAGAAAATCACTTTTTTTTTTTCCCCAAAGAAAATCACATTCACTTAAACCATGAAAGACTATTTATGTAGACTTGACAATAATTGTTAATTTACACGTATAAAATATACAATAAAACATTTAAATTAAGGGTTGGAGTCTGAGATGGGATAAAGAAAAAGTTGTGTGTTGTGTTGTGTCACTTAGGAATGACAAGAGGGTGGCTCCGTCCCGTTATAAAATATATTACACTAGCTGCATATCTATTTCAGAATTGGTTTATAATTATTCTATTATTTTTGTTCTTATTTCGATAGATAAAATATCGACTTTGCTCTATGTACTCCATTTAAATGCAAGGCGTGGAGGGAGCAGGCCGGGTTATGCTACTGTTCTTATGTAGTAAGAAATAATTAGCTCAGTGTGTTCAAATTGGATTGATAAATAAGATGGGCCAACTTTTAAATTATTAAGTAGTTTATATTAACATATTAACGAAGACTTCCAGTAAAATAACATGAGTATTAAAAATATTAAATATATATATTTTTTATGAATGTAAAAAATAAAATGTACATACATAATCGGGGCGGGGTCAGGACCCAAACTCGTTTCAAATTTTTAATTATTTTATCATACTCGTCTCAAATCTATTTAGGGGCCACTAAATTTATCTCATTAAAGGCGGAGCAAAAACTCACTGGATTAGAAAAAATTGCCATCCTAGCTATACTTGCCTCTCAATACTAGCATAAAATAGAATATAATCAAATAATAAACTTACATCTCATGTGACTGTGAGTAGATGGCGGACACAATTTGACACGGAAAATTACTAGTCGGTACAACATTTTAACTTTAAAGACTAACAAATTTTATACGGACCATAAAGTTGTTCATTTAATAAGAATTTCCTACAAAATTTACAATTTCATTGACAAATTTTTTTTTCTTCAATGTTATTTGACTATTGTCCTTTCTTATTGAAATCCCTTCAATATTATTTTCTTAGTGAATCATAACTATATATACCCTTTGCCTCTAATTTTTAATTAGTTTTTTAAAGGTGTATCAAGATGTTTTAAATTTTTCTTTCAAATTACAAGAAAATGACAATACCGATATTTCTATATGTATATAAAAAAAAATGTAATTTGGGACTTATTTGTAAAATATTTACTAAAAATAGGACTTTATTGCCTTAACAAAATTTTACAAGACTTATTGCTCCTTATACTTCAAAAAAGTAAAACTAATAAGTAATTTTTTTCTTTTAACATATTGGACTGAACCTAAACACACAGTCACACAGTTACATGACTTTGTCTCCACAGGTACCTGCACTGTTGGAATGGCATTTCCCAACACATCAGAAGAAACTGTCGTGATAGTTAAAAAGGGAGATGCAATCCCATTGGAAATCGGAGTAGTTTCATGGTGGTTCAACGGCGGAGACACCGACCTGGTTATCGTGTACCTGGGAGATACTTCCAAGGCTCACACTCCGGGGTCATTCACCTATTTCTTTCTCACCGGCATTCTAGGCATTCTGGGAGGTTTCTCACCCGAATTCGTTAGCAAGGCTTATGATTTGAACGAAGAAGAAACGAAAAAGCTCGTAAAAAGCCAAACAGGTGCTTTGATAGTGAAGCTTAACAAAGGAATAGCCATGCCTAAACCATGCAAGAACGCTAGTGATGGAAAGCTCGTGTTCAGCTTTGAGAATTCATCGCCTTTTGTTAAGGTCAAGAATGGTGGATTGGTGACAACTATGACCGCGGATAAACTTCCTTTGCTCGGAAAAGTTGGACTTAGTGCCAATGTGGTGAAGTTGGATGCTAATGCCATGTCCTCGCCAATGTACACCACGGATTCTTCTGTACAATTAACTTATATTGTGAAGGGAAGTGGTAGAGTTCAAATTGTGGGTATTAACGGACAAGGCGCATTGGATGCAAAAGTAGAGGCTGGTCACTTGTTCGTCGTGCCCAAATTTTTCCCGGTCACTCATGTTGCAGATGGAGAGGGAATGGAGTTTTTCTCCGTTATAACATCTCCAGAGTAAGCACCATTTTCATTGCCACACACACACTTGAGCTCGATCTCATACACACACATGAACAAATCATAGAAAGGAGTACCTTTTTTACATTTGAATTAGAAGTAAATTAAGCCTAGCTGATAATTAGCTCACACATACTATTTGCTTTGTTATATATATATATATATATCTCTTTGCAGGCCTGTATTTGAGAAGTTAGCTGGGAATACATCAGTTTGGAAAGCTATAACTCCAGTAGTTCTTGAAGCTGCTCTTGATGAGACTTCAGAATTTGTGGAACTTTTCAAGTCCAAGATTAAAAAGAGCACAGTTCTTGTCCCTCCAGGGAATTAATATTTGACAAGTTAATTATATAATTACCACTTCAGTCGCTGTTGTTGTGTTGTGTTTTTTTTTTTTTTTTTTTTTTTTTTTTTTGATTTTTTTGCTATCAGTCATTGTTGTTGAAGTTTCTATGTTGTGGCAGTAATGAAATAACGTAATTGCTCAACACATATCCTGTTTTTGTTGTTTCTACTGTGTTTTTTTTTTTTTTTTTTGTTGTTGCCATTGATGTTTTGTGTTTGTGTGTGCGCATGTGCATGAGGTTGATTACAAGGATGGTTGGGTGTTGGATAAGATTGTAGGGGAAATTGTACCGGCGCATTTGATCGTTCATTATAGCTCGTGTACTATGTTATGCACTCGTGCGTGTATTATACGGATAGTCTCCATGCGCCCGCGATTATTGCACGTGCAATATGCGTGCGTACTTGTGTGTGTATTGCACGGACGGTCTCGACATAGTCCGATGGGCACAACCAAGTTTTTCTCGGTTTGAATTGTAAAATTTGTACATGTTTATATGTTCTAATTTTATTGGTGCATCAAAATTTCAAGCTTATCAAGTAATAGGTTAGAAATGAGCGAAAAAGACTTCGGTATACTAGTTATACTATGTTTTCCGTGCCATTAATTAATCAATTTTATTAAAAGTGCTTTACATCAATAAGTTCAAGTAGCACGTATCGATATTTAACCAGTTGATTATTTCTCGCACTAGGCAATGATGGACCTATAAAGGCTTCAATGGGGGCTGCTCCACCCATTGATTATTTATTTTATTTTATTTTTTTATGAATTTTTGTTGAAATCTTAAAAATGCCTCAATTAATTTTTTTTTTTTTTTTCTTTAAGTATTCCACCATATACTGTTACCGTTCAAATTTGTGCCCTCATACAATTGTTTAACTCTATCACTGGTATTAGGTCGTTGTCCCTTGAGTTGGGTTGTGTATCTCCTCTAGTTACCACCGACGGAGATTTGGGTGGATATCGTGCATCTGCTTATCGATACATTCTCTATATTACAAGGAGAGTATTATTCCCTCTGTCTTAAATTAAATATCCACCTTTCTTTTTTTGGTTGTCCAGAAATTAATGTTTCAATTGAAAAGTTAAAGAACTAATTTTTTTTTTTTGATAACATTACCAATTTAACCTTATTATATTAAACTTATAAAAAGTAAATTATCACATCTTTTGGACCTATTATGGACATATTTGGTAATGCATTCACTACTAATACAATACAAAAATATCAAAACACATCCTCTTAAAAAATTAGATTCTCGAAAATGGACGTTTTACTTGGGATAGAGGGAGTACTTTTTTAGCCATCAAGAAGAAAGAGTTTTGGTTAAATTAAGATACTTTTCTTCTGGTTTTTAGAGAGGTTTGTGTTCTCTCACTCGATGTTATTTATTCCCATAATAGTTGGGTACTTTGGAACTGTATTATGGGACAAATATTAATTTTTTAAAATATACATATATATATATATATATATATATATATGTATATATATATAGATAGATAGGTAGATAGATAGATATAAGAAAATGAATAAGATGGGTTGGGCTGCAACACAGGCGGCCCAAAAGAAACAAGAACTTGGTTAATTACAAGCTGGTACCAGACTATGCTCATTCGACCAACAAGATTCAAAGACTGAACCAATTATAAAATAGGCCCAAACATAATCAAAAGTAGTGACCCTTGGGGTTTCCAGGCTCGCCCTTTTAAGTAGTCCCAACTTTGGGATCGTTGATAGAGGATTTATTCTGGTACGAATTTCAACCATTTGGATTTAATATTTGTTGCTCATTTTGTGATGTACTATTAATTAAGGATTTCTATGTTTATATGAATTGTGTTCTCTCACTCGATGTTATTTATTCCCATAATAGTTGGGTACTTTGGAACTGTATTATGGGACAAATATTAATTTTTAAAAATATACATATATATATATATATATGTATATATATATAGATAGATAGGTAGATAGATAGATATAAGAAAATGAATAAGATGGGTTGGGCTGCAACACGGGCGGCCCAAAAGAAACAAGAACTTGGTTAATTACAAGCTGGTACCAGACTATGCTCATTCGACCAACAAGATTCAAAGACTGAACCAATTATAAAATAGGCCCAAACATAATCAAAAGTAGTGACCCTTGGGGTTTCCAGGCTCGCCCTTTTAAGTTGTAAAACCCGTGTAAAATACATATATATATTTATATCATATATTTATTTACTTAAATATAATTTAATGGTTATCTCTGATTTAATTTAAACGGGTGATTGTGATAAAGTTTGTTAAATAATTTAAATTTAAATAAAAAAAACTAATTTATCTCACCAGACTCCCTATATCTCTATAACTCTCTAATACGTTTTATTTATATATAAAAAAAAGAGATACTAGCACGATAACGGGAGAAGAAGGGACCAGAGAGAGTGATTTGACGTCGTATTTTCCTGCAGTAGCTGGGGGAAAGGAACGGTAATCGGGAAGTTGCGTAGAAAGGAAGAATTATTTATACCAGGCAAGTTAATCTTGCTTTATATTTTTATATATGTTTATGACTTAATTTATAAAATTTCTTAGAGAATTATTCTAAGACTGTTCTAGCGTATTTTAGTCAATTGTTTGATGGAAATCTATGATTGTTTGATATATGAACCTGTTTAGTAGATTAATATGTGGTTGTTACTCGCTGTTTGGTATTTAATAAATTGTAATATGGAGTTGTAGGTGTAATCGTGTTGGATCTAATTATAAATACATATGGGTTCCAGTATACATGTTACCACATGCACTCTATTGGGTACTTGATATATTCATTGCCTATAATTCTAGATTTTTCTGATTGAATGAAAGTTAGTTAATAGATATGCTTATGTGGGGACATATACAGGATTATGAACTTATTAATAGCATGAACCAATTGTGATTGGATTTTTGGGGAAGTAAATGACATAAAAATTTGTATGCTGACTAGTAAATATATAGGTACTTATGTTGGATTTCATGAAAGAATTTGTGTTCCTATATATAGGTGACTACGTGTATCTATTTAGTATAAAATTTGCCTAAATAGTGGGACTGAACTTTAAAGACTTTGCTTAATTAAATTGATTATGCTATTTAATTATTAGGAATAGATTAGACATGTCACTGAACCTTGAATCTTCTATTTAATTAGTTTATAAATAATTGGAAAATTTATACATACATGAAGTACTTGGACTAAATATATTTTTTAAGAAACTCACTATGTCAAATTATAAGTACCTGTAACTGATTAATTGAAGAGGTGGATCTATATATATATGAAATCTATTAGGTTGATCTGTGATATATATATATATATATATATATATATATATATATATATATATATATATATATGTTTGTGCAGTTATACAATTGCATAAGGAAGTTTAGATGAATGTTAAATTGAATATGCTTGGTGACTAAGATTACTGGGACGAAAATTCATAGCCAGAATTGGTATTATTTGTACTTCCAGTTGCATGCCTCATTATTAGTTACAGTACTGGATGAATAAGTGATAGTTAAGGTTTATGGGTATGAGTATGATGATAAAATTTCATATTATATTATTATATCACAAATCACCATAATTAATAATTAATGGATGAGTTTGGATTAGTCGGAGGGGTAGTCAGGGACTGACCTTATGATGACTTTTTGGGTATGGTCAGGGACCTATCTAATTGGGAGTGCACTACCCTTTTTTTATGGCCATGGGTTTAATGAGCCCTTATTGTGTGGACGTGATCAGGGATCATCTGGGGAGTAGACGTACAATCCAGCCACACGTGTGTTTTTGGTAGTCAGAAACTATACGATTCACACCATTTTTATTGGACGGGAGCCCGGGGCTCATGTGAGATATGCCGATTTATTAAAAAAAAAATAAAAGATGGTTAGTTATTAAGTTTATAATTAACTGGGTTATACACATTTGAATAATGAACTTATTTGAGTTGCTTATATATACAGGAATATAAGGTAAGGTTAATTTGCTGAACGATGATTGTGTTTAGCATTTATTGCTGTGCTTGTGAGCTCACCCCATTATCACATTTCAGGTACACGTTGAGTAGGAACGTGATGGGATTACATGATGGTGATGGATTTTGGCTTATTTGTCGCATTCTTTAGTTTAGTTCAATTTTCGCATTGTAATAAGAATCACGATATTTTTTTTTGAGAGTTAGTTCATTTTGTCCAGTTATCATGGATTGTTTTTGACAAGGTTGTTTGATATTATGGTTGTATCGATTTAATAAATTAGAGGGTGGTTTTCTTCTACTTCTTTATTTAATTATTTCTATTGTAAAGTTGTGGTTGTGAAAGGAAAGTCATGTCAAATCTTAATACGAGATAAGAGTTCATGTATTTAGGACTTTGGGGCGTGACATAAGTAGTCCCAACTTTGGGATCGTTGATAGAGGATTTATTCTGGTACGAATTTCAACCATTTGGATTTAATATTTGTTGCTCATTTTGTGATGTATTATTAATTAAGGATTTCTATGTTTATATGAACAAAAGTTGATACGGGGTATTGTTTATAATTTGTAGATCTTGTTAGGAAATTAAGTTGTTATTTAGATCTCTTGATAGTTGATATTAAATGATTTTTGCTTTTTAAATGAATCTTGCTATTTGGGCCAAACATTTCGATTCAAAAATTAATATTCTTTTTAAATGTTGGAATGATTGAATTATGTATCTAATCGTTCGCTAAAATTGGGATGAAAGGATAAGATGCCCTAATCTCAAATTTTGAAGTGTGACAACGGAAGTATTGAATTTATGATGGAAGTAAGTTTTTATCTAAAATTATAAGGTACAGTTTGGATGGATTAAGGTCCAATTTTTAGTCTTTAAAATTGTTGGAAAATTTAGCTCTTGCATTATATGTGGTGCTTGAGAAAAATAGTACGTGGTGGTCGGGTGTTGCAGTCAATGCACGTCTCCTTCCAGTTACGTTCATTCAAAAATTCTTGTTCAAATGCACTTAAAACCCTACACACACGCACGCACGCACTCATATCATTTAATGCAATGTTAGGGTAGGAGGAATGCGAAAATCAATTGCGTGTAAGTGGAGTTTGTGTGTGTCAGAAGAGAAAAGATTGGATTCTACATGGAGGCATTGTTTGTGAGGGACAAATGAGGAAAAATAACGATGCAGTGTTTGTGAAATACATGTATATATGTGTGATATATTGTGTTAAACGTACCCATATATATATATATATATATATATATATATATATAAGAGAATTACTTAATTCTCTCTTTGATCTATATTTTTCTACTTATATAATTATATTCCTAGCATGTTATCAGCACGACTTTAACTAACTTAGGAGATCAGAAGTAGTGTATATACAAAATCTTATTTT